GAAGGTTACAGTAAATCTGGAATGACATCTCGCCAAGAAGCAAGAGGGGACGTGCAATTCTAACGTCAGGACGCATTCATCTGTGGAAATCTAACACTCGGTGTTCTGCAGAACAAACCCAAATGATATCTATGCTTGTTATAGTACACCTGAAACTATAAGCTCGAATTGGTTCAACGTACACTGACAGAAAGCTCATGCCGAAAAAGTTAGCCCTCTTTCTTCTGCATTAAATCTATGCCATCAATGGTATTCAAAGATATTCAACTTTCCTACCATCTACCTTTTGACATCTTGCAATGTGACTTCCACTCTTACTTCTTAACAAAATATACTCCCCAACATCCCATGACTCCAGAACACCAAATCCAAAACCTTTTTACAGATCTCATCCCTATAGCTTTCTTTTTATTAAGAACAGTTTGCTGACCACCTTCCTTTGTTTCAAAAGTAGCTCTTCCTTGCGCATGCAAACATTGCAGTGTCCTGGTTTTTCTTTTGAACGTTGCCCTCTTTTCTGACTCTTCTTCATCCCACTCCCTAAATGTGGATATTTCTAAAGTGGTTCCCACTTGCTTCACTCCTGTATCCACTATTTTTCTACCTCTACAGTTTCAATTCTCGTTCTGTGACAGTTTGGCTAGATAACCTTTGCCTCCAACTATGACACCACCTCAGATTTCCAGTCTCATGTTTCCAACTGTTTGCTACATTATTCCAGTGAAATAATTCATCGAAATCACAAACTCAACATAACTAAAATTCAACTTATCATTTGTCCTCCTGACTTTCTTCCAATCAATTTTAACGAGCCAGAAACTTTGGTCCTATCTTTATCTTCTTTTTCACCTTCAGCTGCTACATCAAATTAGCTCCAAGATTTGTGTTGAATTTTCACCTCAGTATCCTTCCATTTTACTCCCTGTTTTGTTTTGCTTTTTAAACTTTAACCTGGCCACAACTTCATCCACGGCCACAGATTTTGAATGTAAATCCAATATAAATCGAACATCTCCCACCCTCTACTTTAAGATTTCCCTCCTATCAATTTCTCCTCTACTAATGTCATCCTTGGGTTTCCCTCTTTGCCCAAGTTTTCGCTTGGCACTTGTGGCAAACCCTATTAGTGAGATGATACAACTTTCCTTTTCAATCTCATTTTCCTTGGTTCACTTCCAGCTGAGGGGTAACTATGTGACACAGTCTGGCCAATGAGACATGAACAGAAATCTGCTATGAAATTCATGGAAAGATTTTTGTTTTCTTGATAAAGACTCTTCTATCTTTATCCTGCCTGCTGATGTAGATATAGATGTGATGGTCGGACTTGAAGCAGCCTTCTTACAATCATGAAGACAAGGCCAAGAGATTCACAGAGACTTCCATAATAACATCATTGAATTATATAAATACTATCTAGCACCTCTTGGTATAGCTATTTACGCAATATAATATACAACCAGGTAGCTTCCTTCCTTCCTTCCTTCCTTCCTTCCTTCCTTCCTTCTTTCCTTCCTTCCTCCCTCCCTCCCTCCCTCCCTTCCCTCCCTTCCAAGATTGGCACCTGAGCTAATGTCTGTTGCCAATCTTCTTTTATTTTTTTCTTCTTCTCCACAAAGCACCCCCAGTACCTAGTTGTGTATTCTAGTTGCAGGTCCTTCTGGTTCTGCTATGGGGACACTGTCTCAGCATGGCTTGATGAGCCTTGTTAGGTCCACGCCCAGGATCAGAACCTGGCGAAAACCTGGGCAGCTGAAGTGGAGGGCATGAAATTAACTACTGGGCCACGGGACTGGCCCACATAGTTTTCTTTTTCAGGCACTCAAGAGATTATCAGCTCCTTGAGGGCAGTAATGATGTAGTAATATTTTATTCTAACATTCAATAAATATTTATTGAGTCCTTACTGTTCTAGATGATGGTGGTATGAATAAGACAGACCAAGTCCTTGCTCTTATGGAGTTTATGTTTTAAGGAGGGGCATGTTTTACAGATAACTAGCAAGTAAATAAATAAACAAAAACAGGCTAATCTAAGATTTAGATTGGGTTGTTAGGGCAGTTCTCCCTGAGGAGATGTTTGTGATGAAACCTCAATGATAAGAAGAATTCACTCACAAGAAGGCCAGAAGAGAGCAAATGGAAAGTTGTCAGGTTGGGAGTGAGTGTGATGTGTTTGAAGAACACATGGAGGAAGTGTGGTTGGAGCATAGCGGATGGAGGGAAAGACTAGTATGAGATGAGATTATAGAGGTAGGCAAAGGCCAGATCTTGAAGGTCCATGGAGGCCAAGCAAAGAAGTTTGGATTTCATTCTAAGGGAGTAACATGATCTAATTTACAACATAAAATGATCTCTCTGTCTGCTGTGTAGAAAATGGATTATACAGGGTCAAGAGTAGAAGCAAGATTAACTGGAAGATGACCACAGTAATGAAGAATGTGAGATGATAGTAGGTTGAATTTGGTGGATGTAGTAGAGAGAGAAAGTGGACCCATTTATAGTCTCTGTAGTATTAAGCATGGTATCTTGAACACAGTAGACTCTCCATATATATTGCTCAATAATATGTGAGTGTTTCGAAATAGTGTCACCTTCTTAACTTCTATATTATTTTCAATTTTTTCCTGCCTTGATTCATATCTTATGGCTTAATATATTCCTGTTTGACACTTGGGGAGCCAAAAAGAAAAAAAAAGGACCTCATATTCAAGGAAACAGTATAGACTCCATAATGGAAAGTCAGCTAACAAAGAACTGAAATGATGGAGCATATATTCTTAAGTTAGTTATAGAAAGAAATAAATTACTTGAAATAAATGGTAAAAAGTGGAATTCAAAATCTACAATAGGATGAAAATGGACAGGGTATTCAAACACAAAGATCTGCATTTTGAAAAAGAGAGTCTCCGTCAGCATCAGCTGGAATAGTGTGCCTATAGAGGATGCGGGGAAAGTTAATTTTCATTAAAATTGAAGACTTTTCCAGTTCTAAATTACTTTCAATTTTTCTGGAAATATAAAACCTTCTATTTTTACTATCTTGATATGATAAATTTCCTAATGAGTAGCTAATAATATCTTACTAGAAAGTAATATTTATAACATTCTAAGAGCCTTGAATGTGACCTGCCTTGTTTCTAAATTAGGAATCTGAGAAAGGACAGGCAATTTGGTAGGTTCTCATTCTCGTTACTTTTTTACTTACACACACTTCTCAGGACATTCAAATTTTTACCCATGAAGATTCATCCTGCATTGTGAATTCAATCCAAATTCCTTCAATACAAAGCAAAATCCAGGGGAAAATGAGATCAATTTTTGCCACTTTCCACCTGAAATGCTAAATGGCCCCTGAATTGTGTGAAACTTGGCCCTAGTCAGTGTGAAAACTGGCTGAAATCTGCATGAAAGCCAGTCTGGGTTCGTCAAAGTAGTTCATGAACTTTGGCCAAACTTGCAAGGAACCTGGTCCAAGTCTGAGTTTGTAATGCAACATGAAACCAGGTGAATTTCACATGGTTTCAGGTTTCATCCTGAAAACTTGGCCTCGCTTTATAATCAATCATCACTTTTTCGAACGATGAAAGCCAACACACCTTTTTGAAAATGAGGACTGCATGCATACCGATGACAGCTAAGCTGTGAACCACCCCTTCACTTCCTTTGCCAAAAGAAGATTTCTCAGAATGGAAACAGTTTCCCTCTTACCTGGAAAGGGCAAGTTGAGTGATTTTGATATTACGTGTAGAAAGAAATGATACTCAATACATGGAGGCATGCCATGTGAAATATTTACCACCTACAGAGCAAGTGGCTATACTCTAATCACATAAGGTTATGAGAATTTTATTCCATTCACATCCATGACAGATATCATGATGTTTAATCTCCTTGACCATTACGATGAGCTTTTAGCTTGAAGCTAGTCATCAGCTCGAACAACTGCCTTGAGAAATGAAACGCTCTGAGGCATAATCATTATTTCTGTATAAAGAAATGGCTGAAGAATGAAAGGAAAGTAAATCATACTATAACTTTTATCTAGTGTAATAAACATGAGGAGATAAGACTACAAACTTTTCAAGTTTCCATCAACTACATCTTTTGCAATAAAGCAGCTACCGCACTATAAATGAATTCAATAATTAACTGTGCGGTATGTTTTACAAAAAACCTACACAGTTTCTGTTTCAAACCTGAAAGTTTTAAATGTGCTTTTTCACTGTAAAAAATGACTCTCTTCAACCAAATACTCGTTTTTGTGCATAGTGACATGAGAAAATTGAGAGGTATGTCTGAACGGAACCACTACATCATTGGAACAGTATGTCTGAACATTTGGGTAATAAGGCACAGATGTGAAGCTGAGGACTTGGCACTACCAAGGTAACAACAAAGCCTTCACCACTGTGTTCTAATAGTTAAAAGAGCTACATTTTAGAAGAATGGAAGAAAGCTCCTCCTCTCTGGAATGCTAAATTATATTACACCTTTTACCTACTTAAAAATTATAAAAAAAAATTCAAATAAGTATTATTCAAACTTATGATGAATAAAAATATAAAATGCATTAATCTTTTCATCTATAATATAACATATTTATGCAATAGCACATAAAGTTTAATTGCAGAAAAAGGCCAAGTTCAGGAGGAATCCACATGGTCTCTACATTGCAAAACAACGATGCAAATCTGAAGGACCAACAGCCATTGGAAGGGAGGTGGTTGTTGACTTTCTTTAGTAGTGATTCTGGCCCTTAATCAGTAGGGCTAATTACTGTAGAGTGTCCTATCTACAGGAATCAAGTTAAGGTAATACAACAGGATATACCCATCAGTTATTATTAAGGCTATTTCACTTCTAAGAGGTACAGTGTATTTGTCAGCCGTTACTAAACCATGTGACACAAAGGCAGTTATGGAGCTGGGGCTACTTTAATTCAATAAGTTTGAAGCTGAAAACTAATTTTCTACCCAGGACTGGAAGAGTATAACTTACCCGCGGTCCCTGATCACCTTGTTCTCCCTGTAGAATAGGAAAATGAGATGATAGTTTAGCACAAAGTCTGTAAATGATGCCCATTAAAAAGATCGAAATGTGACATAAGTCATGTCAGTATGGATTTCCACTAACTTAATTTTTTTCTGCTATACATTTTCTTACCTTATCACCTTTTGGACCAGGTGGACCCTGAAATAGAGAAAGAGAACAAAAGATTTTTTAAATAAATAAAAAAATATTGCAGCTTGCATAGATCAACTAGAGTTAGTTACAAGATTCATGCAAAGGGCACAGAGATAGAGCTATCGATGAGGTTTCTCAAGGAATTTGGGGTTCTAAGCCATAATTGTAACATGGCTAGAATGTGAAAATGGTATTATATATACATATGCATGCACACACAGAAAAGTATACATGTCACAAGTACATAACATGCTGAATAAGTTTTCATAAGCTGAACACATCTAACGCAGGTAGAACCAGCTGAACAAACCCAGAAGCCCTTGTCACTACTCTCTACAACAGTAATCACCATTTCGACCTCTGACAGAATACACTAGTTTACCCATTTTATACTTTGTATGAATGGAATCATACAGTACGTGTTTGAAATTTATGCATAATTTTTTGTGTAGTTGTAGACCATTCTTATTGCTTTATAATATCCCACTGTGTGAATACACCATAATTTATTTATTCATCCTGCTGTTGATGGCCGTTTGTTTCCAGGAGTTTCTAGGTCTTGGCCATTACGAATCATCCTGCTATAAGCATCCTAGTGTACACCTTTTGATGAAAAATTGTATGTGTTTTTCTGTTGGGTACATATCTAAGAGTAGAATTGTTACCTTATAGAGAATACGTATGTTTGGATTTAGTAGATATTGCCAAATAGTTTTTCAATGTGGTTCTAACAGTTAAACTCTCATCAGCGACGTATGAGAAATTTCAGTTCCCCTAAATCATCACCAATACTTGGTATTTTCCATCTTTTTATGTTCTGGTGGGAGGTGGTGTAGTTTCACATTGTGTTCTAATTTGTATTTCTCCAGTGATTATGTTGAAATTCCTTTAATACATGTACTGGCCATTTTGCATCCTCTTCCATAAAACGTTCACATCTTTTGCCCTTTTTCTATTGAGTTGTCCCATTATTTGCTGGGGTTCTTTATATATTATATATTATTGATAGAGATATAGATGAGAATTCTTTACATATTCTGAATGTGAATCTTTTGTCGTGAAAGAATATATTTATTGCAAATATATTTTCCTACTCTGCATATTATGTTTATATCCTCTTAAAGGTGTTTTGATGAACAGAAGTTCTTAATTTTAATAAAGCTCAGTTTAACATTTTTTCTCTTTATAGTTATCTCTTTTAGTGTTCTACTTAAGAAATCTTTGCCTCTCCCAAGGTCATAAAGAGGTTTTCTATGTTTATTTTAAAAGCTAAAACTTTATTATTTTATCTTTCATATTTAGATCAATGAAGGTCAATGGAGATTTGATTTTGTGTGTGGTGTGAGGCTGAAGTCAAGATGTTTTTTTTCCCCATGTCAAATTAACCCAACACCATTTATTGAAAATGCATCTTTTCCCCATTATTATACAGTGTTACCTTTGTCATAAATCAGATGACCATATATATAGGATCTGATTAGGAATTTCTATTTTGTTGAGTAGCTGTCTATTCTTGAGCCACACTGAGATTGTCTTTATCTTTGAACAAGAATACTATCAGGAAATACTAATTCTAGAGGCAACAGTACTTTTTTTCTAGCTCTTAAAGATGAAGTCATGTTTTGGGGCTCAGCCTAGCTGAGGAATTAGAGCATTTCAGAGCTACCTTCAGTCTCTCACCTTCATCTTTAGCAGGGCCAGGCGAGAAGGATGAGATGAGACAGGCAGTAAAGCCAAGATTCTAGCGGTGGCCCTTCTTAGATCCCAGGGGAGACTGCTCTGTCAGCTCAGGTGGGAAGGCAGGAGTGCTCTGCCTCTCAAAATATCTCCTACCACGGGGCAGCCACAGAGGAACTGTACCACATTCCTATTCTCAGTTGTGGCACTTCTGGTAACAGCTGCGAGGTTCTCATGAAATTAATAATAACAATAACATCATGTCTTACATTATGTGTATTTTACCATCAACAAAGAACTTTCACCTGTTACCACATTTAATCTTCTCCCAATCCAATGAGGAAAGTATTATGATATCCCTTTTAAAGATGCCAAAAATAAAACTCAAAGATTACCAAGGTTAGGCCTCTTGTGACTCAGTTATCCAGGACTTTAACCTAGTCTGTGTAACTTTAACTGAGGTGGTTTGGGATGCTAAGTGTTGGGATGCAGCTCAAAACCAGGTTCTCAGAAAGAATGATGACCACATATCTGGTGCCTGCCTTCAACAGGTGGCTTCCGAAATGCCTCCCAATTGCGTTTTTCACAGTGTCATGGACAGTGGCCCCGAGATCTCAAGTTCAAAATGAGAGAAAGAGGGATTGTAGAGAATCAGGGAGGGCAAGAGGGGGCTAAGATAACGGAATCAACTAGACCACCCTTTTTTTTCTTACCCCCAAAATAATTTTGCCATTAAAAAAAGGGAAGGGAAGGGGGCTGGCCCTGTGGCCGAGTGGTTAAGTTCGCGCGCTCCGCTGCAGGCGGCCCAGTGTTTCATTGGTTCGAATCCTGGGCACGGACATGACACTGCTCATCAAACCACGCTGAGGCAGCGTCCCACATGCCACAACTAGAAGGACCCACAACGAAGAATATACAACTATGTACCAGGGGGCTTTGGGGAGAAAAAGGAAAAAATAAAAAAAAAATCTTTAAAAAAAAAAAAAGGGAAGGTAAGAAAATTATTTTTCTTAATGTGTGCCTATTTCTGTAAAATTAAGTTTAAGGAATTTATTTCGTCATTTTTAACACACACAAAGTGCTCACTAATGCTCTTCAAGTAGGAGTTTATTTTTGGTGGGGCAAAGGAAACCCAAAGGAAAGAATGAGAGGATACCTACCATCAAGTATAAGAAAGACAATGGAGCTCCTAGTTTTGATTTAGTTAAGTAGCATGCTATTTAGCTCTATTTTCATTTTTATATACATTTGTTAAATGCCTATAAAGAGTTTGGCAATGTTCTCAGCCCTGGTGGAGGATATGGTGGGAGGGGCTGATTTAGAAAAGCTAAATAGTCTAGTGCCAAAGTCAAACACTTCCCATATACTAGTGTTAAGGAAAATGAGCCCTAAAAAATCCAGCTACTGTAAGGTCACTTAGAGTTATTGTGGACCCTTCCCAGCCACCCCTCCCCCAAAATTGTCTCTGTAAAGTTTTGCTTGCTGTTGTTTGGTGAGATTTCAGAGGCCAAGCCTCTCATTGTACCAGTCCCCCAAAGGCACTTTGTTATGTGAAATGACATGCTTGAGGTCAAAGCTTTTTGAAATATTTTACGGTGGGGAACAGAGATGACTTTTTTTTTCCCAAAGTCCAATTATTAATTCCAAAGCCACATGTGTCAACTAGAGCTCTGCAGACAGCTTGCCATAAGCAAGGGTGCTTAATTCATGAACACGTGAAAATTTGCATTCACAATTGAGCAATAAATACCGCTCTTCGAAAGGGGGTGTTTCTGAGCAGACAGGATGGCGTCCTGGCACCTGCCGGCTCAAGACAGAACCGAAGCCGAGGTCAACCGCCGCTCACAGCTGTGGCGGCTGCCTGGGACACCCCAGACCCCACTTGTGCTCTCGGGATTAATGGCAGGTGTTTTCTTCTGCTCTGACTGAAGTCCTACTCTTCTTTATGAACTGGACCCTCTTCGTGGCAAATATGGGTTGAATTTGAAGAAAAACGTGAGCTACTTTAGTAAACACAGCCAGTATTTCAAAATTGGGGAGCCACGGTTCTTTTTAAAGTCAAAACATTACAGATGAAAGCAGTGTTTCTTTGATTACTAACTTTTAAAATTAAAGCTGGGTCATTATTTATTTATTTATTTTCTTATTTATATATTTTTTTCTTTAGAGTAAAAAAACCCAAACTCACTGGTATCAACTAAAGGATAGGCAGCAATACAAATTAATAAATTATGTGAATTACAGAGCAGTATTTTACAATGGCATCTTGCTGCTTCCAACTACACCAAGCTAACAATCTAATATGTAGTGGACATATTTGTGGTTCAGTATCAGTATCCATGGCTGGTTGGTAACAATTGGAAGGTAAAACTTTGTTGCTAAAACAAGGTTGAGGTCAATGGAAAGGAGATATGGTGACATGAGCATCATAAATTAGTGACTAGTGAATCACAGCTTAACATGAGGCTCCTTTGGCAGTCCTGTCTTCCTTCTGGTCTAGTATGTTGGAGTCAGATCTTTTAATGTCTACTTTAATAAATAAATAAGAATATTTGAAATGATCTTTCTAATTAGCTTTATGTAATTATTGCTAACTACACAAATTTTAAAGGTGCTAACAAAGTCTTTATTATTGGTGGTGTTACTCAGTAGTTGGAACATTTCTTTTAGAGCACTGTTAGTGTCATTAATTTACTACCACAGTATTTATAAATTTCAGCAGCAAACTTCAAATTAGCCCCTATTCAAATGACTTCAAATTCAGAATTTACAGGAACAACTTGTCTATTTGTGTCAAGCCTTTAAGGTGGGTCTTGGCCTATACCAATTTCAGTCTCCCCAAAACTATTTCCACCCAAATAATTCAGGTTTCAGCTCTTTTTCCATGCTCTATTATCTATGTCAATTAAATGATAAAACCAAACTAAAAGCACAATGAATAAGTGGCACAAGAAATGGAATTCAGGAAAATATTGGATTTCAATCCACATAAAAGTAATTGAAAAATAGCTGGAAAAGACAGATATATTCATAGAGATTGGATCCCCCAATAAAGGCCTTTCAGGGGCTGGCCTGGTGGCATAATGGTTACGTTCATGTGCTCTGCTTCAGTGGCCTGGGGCCTGCAGGTTCAGATCCCAGGTGTGGACCTACATACCACTCGTCAAGCCATGCTGTGGCAGTGTCCCACATGCAAAATAGAGGAAGACTGGCACAGATGTTAGCTCAGGGACCATCTTCTTCACCAAGAAAAAAAAAAAGGCTTTTCATTCACTAGAACTGTACATTTTGTCTACTTTTAATGGGTAAAAGCTAAAGAGGGAGTAATT